AACGTGGCTAAACTTATGCCCTAACTGATACAAACCTTGATGGTATCAGAACAGCGGCTACAGAAAATTGTAACCGCAATATAACAAGCCGCAGCAAGGAACGTGAACAGAACCAAGTTCTAGTATACATGAATGTTGAGTATCTACACCACCTGAGTGTCGTCCGTCAGCTGTAAGGTACGCAATCAAAATACCATTGTTTGCGAACTCTATTGAACGAAGCCAGTCCTCCGATCGACGGGGTGTGGCTCGGTAATGTAGCTAGCGATGTAATGTATAATTCATCAGGTGCCATCTGCTATGAAGGAAGTAATAAAATCTTACGAGTGTTTATAATACGTATAGTGGACGCAGGACCTTCACTAGCTTGTTATATAGTGCACACAATTGCAGTTTGTGTTGCACTCTGTTGCCGTGGAACCAAGGCCGTGATGCAATAAGTACAATCAGGTGAATTGTATGATTGTATGCGTTCATGTTGAATGCATCACATGATTGCATCACTCGTGCTCAAATAGTAAAACTATTGATAGCAGGTGACTATGCGTATGGTGCTACCTATCTATTCGTATGCGTAGCCAAATATTGTCCACGTGGCATGTACATCTTCATTGATAACTCGGTCCAATTATTCTAACCGTACCTATCTGTTTGTTGTTACATTCATATGACAAACACTTAATTCTTTTAATTCATTTTTTGACCTCGTTTTGTCTTAGTCGCTTTAATTACGTAAATGGCAATTTCCGGTAGTAATCAGGAGCACAAGTGTATGACTTTGACCTTATTTCTCAGCACCACGTGAGCTCCATTGAATCTTGAGCATCCCTCGTTAAATAGGTTTATTATTGTGCGTATGTTCCCCGAGGTCGGGTGTTCCGTGGGAAAGTATTGCGAGTTCATTATGTGCAGCCGTATCACGTGTCGCGGCTGAGACGCACCTAGCGACTGCTTACTTCAGTTATGTAAAGTGAGTGCTATGACGACCGACGAATGAACTCTATAAATAGCGGTCGATCCGTCCTTGAGCCGCCGCGACTGTGCAGAACTAGGTCAAGCCGAGCTGCCTCATGCCAGTGTCCTCTCCCCGCGCCCACCAGCACACCCGTCTGAGCACCGCTCGTTGTTCACTGCGACGAGTGCTTCGCCAAACGCCTCTAATGCCGAGCACATTAAGCTTCCTGGTTACTTTCTGTTAGTCTTGCTGTGCTGCAGAAATAACCCTCGAGCTATTGCTTTGTTCTTTGAAAATTTTAATTGGGCTATAACACATATACAAGCTCTATGATTCAATTAAAAATATTTCAAAATTGGAGCAAGTATTGCGTTTGTATACCTACGTAGGGTTCTATACAATGCCCTTACCTGAGTGAACTGATAATGGCCAAGGTTGGGCCCGGGCAGGTAGCGAACCGGATTATAATCGATCCAGTCGTTTACTCGGGATATTTATTTTTCTATACCATCATGTGGTACATGTATTATTGTATAAAGTAAACAGATGTTCAGATGAGAAATCTACAAGAAAGTTATAAAAAGCGTGGATTTATTCGACTAGTCATGGTTTTTTAATAAAATTACTGGATAACGAATAAGCGAATGGTTTGCAATATTAACGCGCGTTGAACATGATGTTTAGTGACACTATGCCTGTGAATGCTCAGGGTATATTGGTATTTCGTACTTGTATAAACACTAAATACACAGTATTTTGATCAATATTGTTATCGTGACAGTCGTATACATGTCATATTATCGTACCGCGTGGGTGGGTGTGAAGTAGTGAACCATAAACCTAGTCGGTGATATCGCACAAAGACCAAAGTGTTATCTTTGTATAGGGGCACATTGGGCACTCGCTGCCCTATTATAAACTAGTCAAAACAAAATAAGGGCCACCACGTTTTTACAGTATTGTCATGAATTCTTGAGGTTCCAGGGTTGATTAATGATTAGATTGGATGAAATAATTAATTATCATTGTAAACAGCATAAAAAAATGATGGAAACAAAATAAAAATAAAAAATGCACCACTTTTTCTAAAAAAAATTTTTTTCTGTAAAACTAACGGCGAGATAAAAAGTTAAGTAAAAAAAAAAAACAAAAAGTGTTGGTTGATTTGTGGATTTCCTTAGTATCAGGTGTGCCCTCCTCGTTTTCTGATGCACTCTTGTAGCCTGGAAGGTACACTCTCCACCAGGTGTACTACTGTTTCTTGAGGAATTTGTTCCCAGCTTGTTTTCAGAACGTTTATTAGCTGTCTTTCATTGTGCACGGGTTGGTTTGTGCTTCAAACACTGCGTTTCAGTAAATCCCACATGTGTTCAATGGGATTAAGATCCGAACTGTTTGCAGGCCACGGCAGTACAGTGTATACCAGCTTCCTCTAGGGCTTCTCTGATGGCCCTAGCTGTATGAGCGCGAGCATTATCGTGCATCAGGTGGAATCTTGCTCCAATTCTCTGTGCATATGGGACCACATGGGGTCTGATGACCGTCTCGATATAACGTTGAGCTGTAATTGTGCCTTCGTTGAGAATTACCAACTCGGTTCTACCTGATATAGAGATTCCTCCTCACACCATAACATTGGGGCCCCCAAATCTGTCACTTTCATGGATACAAGCATCCGAAAATCGCTCACCTTCACGCCTCCAAACACTAATGCGACGGTCATCACTAAAAAATTTAACTTTGCACTCATCCGTAAACAATACTGTGCTCCAATCACTCATATCCCATGCCAGATACTGCCTTGCGAATGATAATCGGTTTGCACGATGAACACTTGTTAATGGTATCCGTACTACGCGTCTCCTGGAGAATAGCTGGTCCTCGTGTAACCGATTTCTGATGGTTTGATCACTAACACGTGTACCCGTCGCCTGTCGCAAACGGTTTTGTAAGGAACGGGCGGTGATGCAGCGTTCTCTGCGCGCAGTCAGGCGCACGTAGCGGTCCTCCTGTGCGGTAGTTGCTCGAACTCTGCCAGATCCTCGTCTCCTGGTTAGTCTCCCAGTCTCTTGAAATCGATTCCAAGCATTCTGGATCGCTTGCCGGGAAAAACCCAACTGCAACGCCACAGAACGCTGCGAATGGCCTTCTTGAAGCAATGTTATGGCCCTGGTTACAGTTGGTAAGTCATATGTCGTCGAATTCTCGGCATAACTTTTTTAAAATGTTAATTCAGCCACTAGTTAAACAAAACTTAAACCGTTCTTGGCAGAATCGTCACTTTGACTGAGTTAAAATCCGTCTTAAGAATCGGGTAGAATCAAATGTTTACAATAATTTATCAAAAACTGGCCACTTGAAACAATTATGCAGCTGGAATACTCAAAAAAATGATTGTAAACAAATAAGGTAACACCACAATAAACAATCAGCTACTTGAGAACGAATAAAATATAAATTATCGCTACCGACGTAAGAAAATAACAAGTGGCCCTTATTTTGTTTTGATTAGTATACAATGCCTTATCGTACTACATACAGACACTGCAAATACACGAAATACTACTCGGAGCCACTCATTATGTACCCACAGTGAAATTATAACAACGTAATTCATTGTTAAAATGTTAATGTACTTCATTAGCACTTTTATCATATACGTCAACGAAACTAATCCAATCAAGGTCACAGCATGATGTAATAATTGTTAATTTGAAGTTTAATTACGTATGTATAAGTCTGAAATTTATTTAATAAGTACGTAATAATGTAAGTAATTAGAGTTTATTTAAATTTTATTATACCGGTCTAAACTACATTTTCGCAAAGTTTTACTGATGTTCGACTGGTAGATAGAATGGTGTGTCGCGTGATAACAGGCAATCATAGTTAATATTCTAAGAACAATGAGTGTGAATAAGGAATAAGAAGTTATGTGGAATATAATATTATGTATGTCGAGCATCGCTGTCGGCAACACGGCCGGTGAAAGCTTTCTATGGCCCGTCACTGTGATGTGTATGTGTGCGTGCGTATAATCGTCACTTAATTTTAGTTGTGGGCTTCGGGGTGAACTCGGCGCAGCACCTGTCTCGCTCCTTTGTTTCGGCTCCCAAATGTCAGCGGAGGTCATCTAAATACAGGCGGTATAGGCATCGGATTCGGACGACGATCGCTGTCTAGACGTTGTGTTGCATCGTCCGATCGATTGCACGACCGAGCCTCAGACGGTCATCGACCCCGCGGGCGCATCGGTGACGTTACGCTCCGGTGATGCGCTCCTCAATAACCTTACGGATATTATGCTTCAATTCCGTATTTTATTTCTTACGCACCGTCTTCGCTCACTCTTTACCGTCAATTCTTAGAAACTAATTACACGCATTTGTGAGTACCTACCCGTATTTACTCAACTCAAGCCGACAGATAACTAGAAATTTTCTTCAAAGACGACATCTTTTGATGATTTGATTGAATCCAACACGCGATACGAATCCAAAAAAGTATTAGAATAGTCTAATGTTCTGAACAGAATGAATTTCTATACAGGTACTGCTATCAGTTGAACAGTATGAAAGATGGCAAAAACTCATGTATTGTTGTTCATCCGTTCCCTTCAAAACATTTGTTAAGAAGTAGTACATAAACCTTTTCATAATTTATTGTACAAAAAAATAAGAAAAGTAATATTTGTAGATCGCGTTTCGCTTTTGTTTTGTTTTTTCGGTATCGTATGTATGTACGCGCTGTTGTTATGATAACTGTACTCGTTCTTTATACTATTTATTTACAATTCGTCTGACCTTGTACGCCAGTCAAGTTCAGGCTGTAACTTTGACATTGTTTTCTAGTCGGTCGTTCGGTACAGCACAAAGTCCTTTGTAAGGCTTTTTAAATGTAAACTATTTAGTTTATTGCCTGCAATCTTTTGTCTACTAAGTTGACTTGTCTGGATGCTACGCAACAATAGCCCGCAATAAATTTGTTGTTCCCCTTCATAATATTGGAGGCGAGGGTATGCCGATACTTAATGTTTTAATGGCAGGGCTACAAAGGCGTTGCAAATGGCACTGTACGTGTCGCCGGGGTTCACCCGCGCGGCGGACGCGCACCTACGGCTGGCGCTCATGTACAAGGCGCGCCGCCACTGGACCATCGCCGCCGTCCACTTCAGGCGCGCCCGCCTTGCACCACACCAGGACGCCACCTTCACCCGGCTCGAGCTCAGCTTCCACGCCGCGCACCTCCTTGAAGCGAGAGGTCTGAGGAAAGCAGCCAGAGACGCATACGAAAGGCTACTAAAGGAACCTCAGTTGTCCTCGACCCTAAAAGCCGATGTTTGCAGACAGCTAGGTTAGTAAGATACCTCGTTGTTATTGTTTTTCCTGCATTTAATCATCTTCAAACATCGTATGAATCGGTCGGACGACTATCATCGTAATTGTATTGGTTTAGGATGGCTATACCACCGCTGTGTGTCATTGGGCGAGCCGGCAGCCCGCGCTCGTGCTGCCATCTGGTGCCTGCAGCGAGCGGTGGCAGCCGAGCCAGAGTCAGGAGCAGGGCTCTATCTACTCGGGCGGTGCTTTGCAGCGCAAGGAAAAGTACACGACGCCTTCATTGCATACAGGAATTCTGTAGAAAAGTCCGAAGGCAATGCCGACACTTGGTGTTCCATAGGGTAAGAAGCGTCTTAGTTTAATGGCAATGGTATTATTTTACATCTTAATGAAATATATTATGTATGTTTTAAATTTTATGTCCTATTTTTTCCGCAGCGTTTTGTATCAGCAGCAGAACCAGCCCATGGACGCCTTGCAGGCATACATCTGCGCGGTGCAACTAGATAAGGGTCACTCTGCGGCGTGGACTAACTTGGGCAGTTTGTATGAAAGCTGTCAAATGCCCAGAGACGCATTTGCGTGTTATACAAACGGCGGGGCAGCTGCAACTGCGTCGCATTCCGCTTTACGACAAAGGCTCGCCTTTCTGAGAGCGCATTTGGCACATGCCCCAATGCCTTCTGTGACGGGAAAGTAAGTCGTGTACTTTATATTATTTGCACGCACTCGTACAATATGACAGGCGCCTGTGAGCAAGATATTTTTGATGCCACGTGTGTTCCGCAGACGACGCCAGCTCCCATCTATCGAGGAAGCCTGGAACCTGCCAATATCCGCAGAAATGTCATCCCGTGCGCCCAAGTCAGCACCCCCGCCCTACCCCGGCAAGAGACCCGAGGAGCCCCCGCCACTCACACAACACCAGTTGCAGACTCTACAGTACTTACAGAAGAACTCCAACAATTTGTCGCCGCAGCAACAAGTACTATTCTTATTATCTAGTGTACAAATAAAACGTTTAATTTCCAAACAAGTTGATCAACAATGGGAATGTCTCAGAGTCAACCAATCATTCTACGAAGTTGATTTCGAAATAATATAACAGTGTTAAGCAGTAAGATAGACGAAGTCGACTAACTAGTTTGTGACCGTTGTCTTGTTAAATATAACTTGTATTAGTTTTGCTTTATCGAGATTGCAGTAATGTAATATTGTTTTGCAGGCTTTGATGCAGCAGTTACTGACGCAGTATCGACAAGCGCAGGCGGCGAGAGCGCGTGCGGTTTGTACTAACTTTGTTTCCCCTTATAACGGCGGCAGGTTTTAGCATAATGTGTAGGGTTTCAAGAAGTCTTGTACTTGGTGTTAATCATATAATGTTTTACAGGTGACGAAAAGCGAAGGTAGCGCCACCGGCGGCGACAACGCTGAGTCGCTCGCCGAAGATCTGTTGAAGAGGTTCTCAGATACTCAACCCGAAGTTAAGAAGGAGCCTATAAGTGGTAAGTTCATAAACTGCGTGCTATTCTGTACTCTAGACTTCAAGCACTTGTTGCACATATTGCTTTTCACCTTTCAAGAACATGTACAGATAACCGTCGTGGGTGTTTAAAAATGACAAAAGTTGGACGACTCAGCAAAAAGTGACCAACCGTTTGTAGAACAAGATAAATTCCAACGAAAATACCTTGTATCTCAGCCGAGAACGGTTTTATTCGTTTTGTTGCGACGAACTCGTGTAAATCCGTCTTCACAGTAACAATATTATTTTAAAATATTCACTTCAAGATTAAACAGAACTGTAGTCGTATTGGTGAAGAAATTCTAAGACCTTATGAATAGAAAATATAAATAGGTCGTCTATAAATAGATGTTATATCAACTTAATTAATTAACCACGTAAAATATTTACAAAATGCATATTCTTTAAAAGTAAACAAGACTCGCATGAAGAAGATACTTAAATCACTGACAACGAAAAGTAAATATAGAGTTCATAACATTTCGCAACCTCCTTCATCTTGGGTCCTGACTACTACCTGCCAAACTTGCACAAAAAACGTTCGGATTCACGATCCACATCTGTTAACCCGCAATTTCCCTTAGCCTCTGTTAAAGCTACCATTATACCATATCCTTAAGCTATTACGCGAGAATATAGGAATAATGCGGTCCTTGTGTTCCTCTGACAAAGCCACGCGAAAAAGTTCGCGTTTCACAAAAGACTAAGGTCGTCTTTAAGAATGATTGAGGTCTTTTGTTGTCTCGTCAAATTCTATGCTTTTAAATAGAATGTATTATCGCTCCGTTTTATTTAGAAATATATGAAATCCACTTTTGCTTTAATGGTAAGGTGGACCTTGCAAAACTGCCTTTTGATTATGTACCTAGATAAATTATATCGAATTATTCATTTCAATCATATTATTTACACCTCACTGAAGTATTAATCGTTATTCCTAATCTTTGTATTAAAAACTCTTCATGGAACAGTGAAATTTCAATTCATTGACACATTTGTTTTTCTATAACATTTATTTACTTATTATAAATTGTCAATGTCATTGTGAGTTATTCAGAATCGTGGGCTCGCAGGATCTCATAATTAAATAAACTTACGAAGCCAAATGAAGTATAATAAAGTTAATAAACGAAGTCAGTGCAAAGAGTATTATTTAATTTTAATAATAACGCAGTAATTTCCCGACGTGTTTGACTTTACGTTCAGATAACCGATAACTTTCATATTTTTGTGGATGTCTATCGGTGCGTAAGTCATTATTTAGGAACGGATTACGATTAGCCATTTTGCCAGGATATTTCCACCATACGACTGAATGTTTTACGTTTTTATTGAATTATTAATCTTTGATATTTAACGACCTTAATCTGAATTATGGGTTTAATAAAAAGCGTAACCAAGTCAAATTAACTTTCCATTGTGCACCACAAAAGTCAGTCAGTCAGTCTGCTAGACAACAACCCCAATAGTGTATTTGTTAATTTTTTTCAGCGGATAGCTCCAGTAATGCAGGCAGTAGTGGCGAAACTGTGCTCGGCGGGCGACAGCCTGTCGTGAAGCTGGAGCCCCTGAAAACAGATCCACTGAAGCCGGTCTCCTTTCACATCGGCATGAGCTCGAAGCAGATTTTGGAATCTTGCAAGTATGTATTGCATCTTCATGTCTACGTAAGTCATTCATTCATTTCTATTTATTAACGTCTACTTGCCTTTCAGGGAGAACGCTGGCCCTCCTACGGCGTGGTCAGTACTAGGCGACGGGTGCGGGCCGCCGGAGCCCCCTCCGGTACCACCGCCGCGCCTGTCTCCCGAACAGCTGGCGCCACCAGCGCCTTTCGTCTACGTAGAGTCCAAGCGAGATGCCTTCTCGCCCCAGCTGCAAGACTTCTGTCTCAAGCACCCCATCGCTGTGGTGCGCGGCCTCACTGCGGCTCTAAAGCTTGACCTCGGGTTGTTCTCCACCAAGACTCTAGTGGAGGCATGGCCCGACCATGCCGTGGAGGTGCGCACGCAGCTCATGCAGTCGGCCGACGAGAACTGGGACCCCACCGGCCGCCGCCGCGTCTGGGCCTGCGCCTCGCATCGCTCGCATACCACGGTGCGCAAGTACGCGCAGTACCAGGCCGGCTCCTTCCAGGAGTCGCTGCGGGAGGAGCGCGAGCGGGGCGGGGCCGCCACCGCGCCCGGCGGCGGCGCGCTGTCCGACTCGGACGGCCGCGAGTCCGGCTCCGGGCCGGTCAAACGTCGCCGAGCTGCACGAATGCTACGCTTTGGGACCAACGTAGATCTTTCAGACGAGCGGAAGTGGCGCCCTCAACTCACCGAGCTACAGAAGTTGCCAGCTTTCGCACGTGTCGCGTCAGCTGCCAATATGCTATCACATGTAGGACACGTTATTCTGGGCATGAACACAGTCCAGTTGTACATGAAAGTACCGGGTAGTCGCACACCTGGCCATCAAGAGAATAACAACTTTTGTTCGATTAACATTAACATCGGACCTGGCGATTGCGAGTGGTTCGGTGTTCCCGATGCGTATTGGGGAGGAGTGCGAGATCTGTGCGAGAGACATGGCTTGTCGTACTTACACGGGTCATGGTGGCCCGACCCCGAGGAGCTTCGTGCGCACGGGGTGCCCGTGTACCGCTTCACGCAGCGGCCGGGAGACTTGGTGTGGGTGAACGCGGGCTGCGTGCACTGGGTGCAGGCCACCGGCTGGTGCAACAACATCGCGTGGAACGTCGGGCCGCTGACCGCGCGCCAGTACTCGCTGGCGCTGGAGCGGTACGAGTGGAACAAGGTGCAGAACTTCAAGTCCATCGTGCCCATGGTGCACCTGACGTGGAACCTGGCGCGCAACATCCGCGTGTCGGACCCGCGCCTGCACCGCGCCATGCGCACGTGCCTGCTGCAGACGCTGCGCGCCGCGGCCGGCACGCTGGCGGCCGTGCGCGCGCGCAACGTGCCGGTGCGCTTCCACGGGCGCGCGCGCGGCGAGGCCAGCCACTACTGCGGCGCCTGCGAGCGCGAGGTCTGGCACGCGCTGCTGGTGCGCGAGCACGAGCGCCGCCACGTGGTGCACTGCCTGGCCTGCGCGCGCCGCGCCGCGCCCGGCCTGGCCGGCTTCCTGTGTCTGGAGGAGCACCACATGGACGAGCTGGCGCAGGTCTACGACGCCTTCACGCTGCACCGGCCCGCGCCGGCCGCGGCGCACGCGGCGGCGCTGGTGCCGGTGCCGGTGCCGGACTGAGCGCGCCCGACGGCGGCGGATCTGTATTTATTTCGTGTGCGAGTGTATGATAGTTTGGGTTTATGACCAGATATTTTTATATATCGACGTTTAGTTTCGGTGCGTCCAGAGGTCGATGTAAACGAAGATTATCTCAAGCCAGACTTGTACTCGATCGGCACTTCACATTTTAGACAGTATTAGATGCTAGCTAATTCCGACGGTTATATAGGTAATTTTTGACGACGCATGAAGGTGTCATTGTTGACCAAGTTGTAATAAATTGTAACAGATGCACGTGATCTATTTTTACTACGATGCGCCTGATTCTAAAATTGTTGTATGATGAGGACTTGATGAAATATTTTTGGTGATAAATGTAATTTTGTAATATGGAATCTTATACAGTTTACACGCTCCTCGATCACTTTTGTAATTGTGCGAGATATTTGATATATGAAGTCAATTGTATCGGCGACGACTAGCCGCGGTTGTAGAAGGTACGTATAATGTTATCGGCGGCGCGGGCGGCCTCGACGCGTACCGCGATAACGTAGAGTAGCGACTAGAGTGCTAGCAATGTACGCAGGAACAGAAGGCCGCCCGCGGAGATGTCAAGTGCTCACGTGTTCACCATCGTATATAAATGTCTTATTTTTGTATAGAAGCGTATTTATTTATTTTTATCGTACAGTGACCTTAGTTTGATTTTAGACAGTCTTAGCAAATAGTAGTATTAAGTAAAACTGCACGTAAGGAGACCCTACGTTTTAGTAGGGCCTGGAGAATAGTGCTGCGATGTCCCAAAGAATGTTATAATGTACTTGAGTAGGTAAATGGAAATTGTATGATCAATTTATTGATATTATATTGTCGACATTTCTTGAATATATCTGACATGTTTGGGATCTGACATTAAAACATTTTTTTTTTATTTTAGCAAGTTGACTTTATCATTTCGTAAAATTGGACTGTATTAAAAATAAGCATAATTAAAATGTTGTTTCTTGGATTGATGTAAATTAGGATGGATTAGGCATGTAAGCTCGGGTTGGCAGTAAAGCAGGACAACTCGCCTCTGACACTTGCCTGTTTGTTGTTTATCTTGAAGTTTTATTGATGTTTTAGTGGCATTTCATGTTGATGATTAATTTTTAAGTGTCAGAAGCGAGTTTGGTATAGAGAATATGGAAGTGTTGGTCGGATTATGTATAGCGATGCCGAAATATTTATAAGTAATAATAATAACATCACTGCCATGTATGACCTTACTGTTTATACTGTAAATTACATTTTTAATAAAGAAATTTAAGTAAGATTGTTTGCGTTTACTTTGGAAGTGTCAAAACTCACCTTTAATAAGGTAGTTTCCAAATAGTCAAATTCAATACTTTTATCCAAACGTCAAAAACGATACTTTTCTATGAAATTTGTATGAAAAACTGGGCTATGACGTCATAACTTTTTTGCGTCAAATAGGTTACTTATTAATAAGTTAAAATCTAAAAATTAGCGTTTCGATCGATCGATGAATAAAAGTATAGTTATTTTTCAATATTTTATTGTATTGAAACGTCGAAATAATTTATTTTTGACCTAGAAAACTACCCAATTGTTTTGCTCAACACCTTCGACAGGTGCAGTGGCTGTAGCGCGAGTGTACCTGGGATGTATTTTTTTTTATTGGGTACGTAAACAAACGGCTATCTACACGGATCAGCTGATAGGCTGATGGTAGTAATATACCTCAGTCACACGGCGAAACAACATAAGAGTTGATTCACGTCCGGTATTCTGTGAGGCCGTGGTAACACCCGTCCAGCCGAATAATCGCTCTCCCAAACTTAGTTTAGTGCTTTGATTTGTAATAAGTAGTACTAGCGACCCGTGCGAAACCGCGGCGGGTCGCTAGTACTGACATGGCATTAATCAATTCTTCAGCAATTTGTTTTGGAAACATGGTACATCAATAAGTTTATAGGCCTATTTCACCCTGACCCTTCAACACTTCTTACATTGTGAAGTGCTCGTGTACGAGCTTGTGATTTTTGTAATTAAGCTATGCTATAAGCAGAAAAATTGCCTCCCTATTGAGATTTTAGTTTATAAACCTAAGCGGGATGCAAAAGGCACAATCCTACACGTTTACATCCTACTAGGTGCTCATCTAGTGATATCAACGAAGACGGCGGCACAGTGATCACGTACCGCATACGCTCAAGGGAGAAGCATTATACATGACATTGTATATATGCATTACATATTATATTACCTTACTGGTGTTGAGGGTGGCTACGGGAAGAAACTCAAGCGTTCTAGCCTTTCTCCTTAAACCAAAGCGCCTTGTGAGAGTTTCCCCCGAAATTAATAAAGGTAACAAGTCTACACAAAAATAAAAATGATTTTCCAAAATATTTTATTTAAATCACATATTACATTATTTTAAATACATCTTTTTGTTTAATAATAATGATAGCTCAGTAACATATTTGCATAAACTATATTTATGATGATGTTTAACATTATATGTCAATGGAATATTGCATTAATAATATATTTATTTAATTCTAATCAGTGATACACAAGCATATAATTTAGAATAGTGCTAGAAAATTCTAATGTGTTCATTAAATTTTATAATATTGGTGCTGCTATACCAACATGAACAACATTCTCAATTATTTATTTAAATAACTCAACTTCTGTTGACATTATTTTCCTATTTAGTCCTTTTATAAAATCAGTCCAGCCGAGTGATGTCCAACTCGGTACAGTCACGTTCAAATCTAACTATTGAGTTGATTTACTCTGGTATTTATCGAATAGTTATTTGCCTTACTATTATTAGACGCAGATCTTGTAGGCTAGCGAAACTCTTTCCTCCTACAAGGAGGAATCAACCCTTACTTTCTGTGCACTTTTGTGACACTACGCGAACTCTCTATGGAGAGGAATAATTTTAAAGCATCAAACTTTTATCACTTAACATAGTAAAAGATTCAAGTCTAACATAACAGTCTTAAAGTAGTCTACGCTTTACAAGGTGATGTGATGTTGTATGTACATTTTCTTTAAAAAAATTACAGAACTACATTAATCTAAAATTATTTAAGTAAGCAATCATAGCACCTATTTGTTATTTATTACTTTATTGTAAACATATAATAAAACATTTAAACTATGACGCAGAGAGCTTCAATTAATTTGTGCGATGTTTGCATGCATGCTCTGACATTGATGTATATGATATTTAGCAAAATACGATTTTAATATAAAAATAAGACTCCTGTGTCTCGACTACAGTTTGGCATGGTCAATTGCACAGCAACATTATCCTTACATCCAACATAATATTAACTAATCTCATGCTTACACACTCTAAACGAGATTTACGGCCTTCACTTCTAAATAGAGATTTGGTGAAGACTAGTTTTATATATATTTATAAAATAAGTTTATTGGAAATTAAATCACATTTTTGCAATAGCATTCCAACCAAAACATTCCTTTGGTAATTACAAATATTCTATCAATTTTACGTTGATAAATCAATTAAATAAAATGGAATTGTAATAAATGCGTACATAATAATTTTGAATAAAATTTAAATTGGTACGCTGGGATCACGAGACTTCACAACGTATAAAGATAAGTATTAGTTTAGTATGGCTAAAGTAAGGTGATCCCGTAAACTATTGCTTTTGTTAAGCTCTATCAATTCCTACTGATCGTCTCATTGCATTACAGCGTGACTTATAACTTCAGTCATACAAAGATGGAAGTTTTGAGTCGTAAGTGCGGTGTAATGTCGAGTCTGGTGTCAGTGGGTGTAGGTAGGCCTCATGACGCGCCGTCCCTTAGCACGGGTTTGCGCAGTAACAGCGCAGAGTCAGCGGAGACGATTGGGAGCTCGTTGCTACAGTGGTATTTAATTAGATGCGGTACACTTTCAAACACTCGATCCTTGGTTCGTACCTGGCAATAAATGTGTATTGTTTAACAATATGTAATTTTTTTAAGAAGGTAAGTTTACCAACAAATTGTCATAAGACATACTAAAATCGACTATGGAATTAAGACGATTAGGTGCAATATTGTATGTGTAATGGAAAGAAATATCATACCACTCCATTCGGGTCGACAAGTAGCAAGTGCTTGTGGCTACCTTTCCTGGCTCCAGTCAGAACGAACTGGCCAGGACACGCCGCCGACTCACGTACGAGAAACTCGCCGTCCTCTACCACTAGCTGTCAAATTAAATGACATTTTTTTTTATTTTTGTTTTGGAAAGTATAGAATAAAAATAACGAAGAATAAACCATGCTCAATTATAAATATGAATGTTATTTCGAAAAGACCAATCAGACCAACACAGACATTAAAAACTCTGATCATTTTTCTATCTAAATCTAGTAAAACTGTGAAAGAAGAAGTGGCTTTTTCTTTTCCAAACTCCCAGTTCTCAGACAAACATAGGGATAGAAGTATGCAAGGTATTATATTATAATGGTAAAATTGAGTTTCTTACGTTCTACAATAAAGTCTACATTCGAGAAGTTTACCTTTTCAGCTGTAGTTCTCGATATAGGTCCGTGGAACCACGGTTCCCGGGCCAGTAAGGCGGCCTGCGCCTGCGCAGACAGTGGCTCCGCGGGCACGTCGTTAGGCGACGATACTGAAGCCGTCGATGATGAAGATGCTGCTGACGATGAGGTTACTGGCGCTGCTGTGAACGGTTCTGTGGACAAAATGTGGGTTTGAATGAGAATCGGAATAATTTTGCTTCAGTGAAGACAAGTATTAGAATAATGGTCTTTAAAGATATCAGATTCACTACCTATTATAATTTCACACCGTAGTGTAATGTCTTTTGAAAAGTGAGAAAAGAAAAATATGGTGCCGTTTCTTTTCATTAGAATTAAAAAAAAATCATTTAACAAGAAACCGTCAGTGCAAACGGAGCGAAATAAAAAATTCTGACTTTTTTAAATAAAATCATCGGAATGTAATATTGGTGCTTAAATAATGTACATTTGTCCAATATTTCTAGTCAATAGGAGACTTCGCCGGGGTGGCCCGGAGGTTAATGCGCCCGCTTCTCATGCATGCATGAGGGTGCAGGTTTTTAATGTGACTTTTTCCGAGTTATATGTACTTTCTATGATTATTTAGACACCAATATACGGTGAAGGTTAACATCGTGAGGAAAACTGGACTTATAAGTTCTAACTCGCCAACCCACATTGAGCAAGTATGGTGATTAATGCTCAAAGCTTCTCCGTGTGAGAAGATGCCTTTGCTCAGCAGTGGGCACTTATAGGCTGCTGATGATGATGATGAAGAGACTTTTCGCTACATTAAGGGACAAAAATCACTAAAATTTGGGATCGGACAATACTCACGCATATCGAAGATGTCGGTGTGATGATTTGGCAGCAAAGCGGTAGGAGGGGTGCGGGGCGGAGGGGTTTGGTTCACGTAATGCCTCACACTCTCCTCACACCTAAAAACATATACAGAACAATTAATATTATAAGTAATTTCATTACCACGTGATTTAGGCAGTATATACAAATACTTATTAAAAAAGTAAAGACAAAGAAGGTTTATTTTTATATTTATTGTACATAACTAACAAAGATTGATGTTTATTACTGCTTTAATATAAATATGACATTATTTTCCTTATTGATTTTCACTGACACCAAGAAGTACCTATGTACACACGAGCCAGCACCAATTCTAAACAAGAATCATTGAGTCATCTCACGACATGTAAGCTTTCCGAGAAAGTGAATCAATACATGTGATATATACACCTACTTAGATTCCGATTATTGTTATTTAAGAAATCATAAATATGTTGCATGATTCATATTTTTAAAGAATGTTTCAAATATGCATCGAATATTTGGGGTTATGATTAGATCGGCGTAGGCGTCACTTCACGAGTATTTCCTGGACCGAGTGGTCAGTTAAAATGATAAGTGTACCTAATAAATAATAGCTTTCCGCTTTATTGACACATGGATAAACACCTAATGATAAGGAATTTCGTTTGACTTTTATTAGGTTTTGGAATAAACAATGAAATTCAAATTATTGACGAATGCGATTTAAATATATTTGAAGCGCGATGACGTAAAATCACAAAAAATAATAGAAAAGTAAATGAAAGAGAGTGTATTTTAATGCCATGAAATGCGAAAGTGTTGAATTAAACATTACGGGGAAATGTGAAATAGTTTCTTTTAACAAAAGAAGGAAGTATCTAACTATACATATTTTTCAGCTATAGTAAGTAAAGGTATGAGTTTGATTGTTGAATGCTTACAATGTAATAATCATTATACATATTTAAAGGTTAGGTTAGGATAGGCTAGGCTAGTGCAATGACCTTCTTTTAAGTCATGTAAGCATGATTATGCATGAATGTAATAGAAGATAAATAAGTACAGCAGCGCCTAGCTGATATAAAGTGATAAAAGTAGTGTTGGATAAGCTAAAAATTAACTTGACACGCTAACCGCCACGTAGGTCACCCGAGAGACTCGGAGTAGCCGAGGGTTTGACATCAATAGTTATCGGTTGGTAGCCAAAGGCATTGTTAATTATTCAAAACGTGAAGATTATGTCAAACTCATTTTACCTAGACCTATAAAGTTTCGACAATTCCATTATAGGTTGTTGACATAATTATTCAGTGTTGACATACATGCTCATATGTAAAATATACTTACGAAGATATAGGAGCTAGGGAGGCGAGTGACGCTAGAGGCGGGGGCGGGGGATGTCTGTACGAGGTGGTGGTCTCCGGCGGCGTCTTGTCTGGCATGTCGTTGTAGTACTCCCGGTCGTCCGGCGCCACGCTGCCCCCGCCCGACGCAGCGCCGCATAGCACGCGACCTCCGTTTAAATTTAACCTGGAAATTGCAATCATTATTTTTATATGTATATCTTACTAATATTATACAGTATAAGTTACAATGTTTCGATGTTTGTTACTCAATCACGCCAAAACGGCTGGACGGATCCGGATAAAATTTGGCATAGGCATAGGACAAACCCCGGAATAGGACATAGTCTACTTTTTATCAACATACCACGCGGGCGAAGCCGCGGGCGGAAGCTAGCACAGAATATTTACATCAGCCTTATCATAGTCCGAACTACATGTATCCTCAAAAAGCCAGAATGGACTTGCAATACCTCTAACTTGGCCATGGGCAGCGTTGGTTGTTTACTGTCAGTTGATCTATTTGCAATCTGTTTGTTTCTTATTCCTTTAATTTAGTCATAAGGAGTTAATATCATTAACTCCACAAGACTAAAGCTATCCTCAATAATTTGCAGTACAAATCAGACAGTCAGTAATAGTCTATTTTGAATTTGGGACATTGGTCTACATAAATTGACAGTACGGTAGTGGTTCGATGAGAAGATCTGCACATCGACCTTAGTGACGTGCAATTGGGGAGGCTTATGTCCAGCTGTGGACGAAATCAGGCTGATGATGACTACATAGCCAAGGTTACCTCATACTGAAGATGACCTTATATCTGAACTCTTTATAGCTGAAAAACAGATCATTGTTTTGAAAAAATTCGTGTAATGAATGCTCTATATTCGTATTCTGAGCTCCTCATGATCCAGCCATTATTTCTGTTGCTAACAATACATTTCAAAAATCATAATTGATGGAACTTCATAGTACAAAACTCTAATTGTGTCATTGCACATAGAGCAGTGAATCATCCAATATTTACTTGACTCATCTTCATTGATTAAATATTTTGAACTTGTATGGCTAGTGAAGTAGTGGTACAAATGGCAACAATTTTATATTATTTCTAATGTGAACTAATATTATGTTTTAGATGCAATAGCTGTGTCCATAATGACCTTTGGTAACAATGAGTTATGGTAACAATGCTCTTAATATAAGCACCTAAATCTATGTTAATGTTTTGATAACTTCTGTAGTCATAGAAAAACTTTAATTCTCTAATGGTGCTTCAAATTATCTGAATAAATATTATAAATAAAATACTAATTTGAATATTGAATTTTTACTACCATTCGTCATTGCAACATACAGTTTAGCATTTACCTATTAGTTATCAAGGAAGAATGAGGTATTAATATTAGTTTTCACACAAATGACAAATAAATGACTCAAGCACACGAGGAAATAACTTTCGATTAATATAATTTACCCAGTAACAGAAAGTACAGTCTGGTATTTCTATGAGGAAGTTGTAGCAATACTTACGATGAGGGTTTCGTCAAAAATTCTTTAAAACGGAGTTCAAATGCTTGTCCTATGGTTGCTATGACATCTTGTGCTAGTCTACCTCCACACTCTAGTACGTAACATGCCCTCCATTCAGCGGGGGGCACTGACTTGGCTACATAAGCTACAAAGTCTAAAGAGTCTGTATCCCCTCCTGAGGCGAATGACACTCGAGGCATATCGTGACGAGCTATTGTCTCTCCACCTTCAAGTGCCGCTAAAGTTATTGCTTTAGATGATATGGTCAGTGCTACATTGGCACCAGAATGTGCCATCCGTGGACGTGCGGCTAATGCTCTCACTGCAGCCTGACAGACTCTTCGCTTCTTGTCTGCTGACCTCAAACCAGCAGCTGCACACACCCTCGCAATACATTCCCTGAAATATGAAAATTACTGTTTAGCAGAAAGTCATTATATGTATAGACTACTAACTACTGCCGCGCTTTTCGGCTCCTATTCGTTGTAGGGTGATGTTTTATAGCCTATAGGAATCAGGGATATCGTAGCTATCTATCAGTGATTTTTTTTTTAAGTTTTCAAGCTTATAACTTTTACTTCTTTAGTATATATATATTAAAATTGATAGTATGATTTTTTCACAACTAACTTTAGTCTACTTTTTACCCGACTACGGCAAAGCAAAAGGAGGGTTATGCAGTCTCTAGAATACAAATAATATAATCTACATTATATTATTTCAATGTTTCACATAGCCATAAAATCCTTTTATTTTATGGCTATGTGAAACATTGAAGCATTTTTTAGCGGAACCATAATAGTATAGCTGCACATTGTCTCCATTACAATGACAATAGTACAATACATTAACAATTCAATATTACAAGTATAAAATGTTGCAATCTTAAGTATTGTTTCCATTTCAATACTAGGTTAAGACAAAATTTGCAGCAAATAAATAACACCACCAATGATAAAGTTGTGTAAAAGAAAATAATTAGAACATAGTATGTATCACCATCTCCAGTTAAGTTTTAGTAAGTCTAATTGGTTAATATTTTCAAAGTAACATCTTTCAAAATTAAATGTCTCAGTTAAGCTTACAAAAACAAGTGTCTGAAAACTGAGCAAAGGCATTACCATGAAGAAGGTTTAAGCATTAATCACTACACCTTTTCAAGATGGGTAAGAGATTAAAAACTGATTATTAGAGATTTTACATCCAGGTTTCCTAGCTGTATTTCCATTAGAATTAGATAACAACCCATTATCAGTAAGTCATTGGATCAATGTTGGAAATAAACTCCACACAACAGTCCAAACATGTTATATCAAGATTTTTTATTTCTTTCAACTGAAAGTCTTTGTAATTTTATAAGTGTTTGCTGAATGCAGTAAACAACAAATGCACTGTGAAATAAGAGATAAATAAAGGTATTATTGGAGCTCAGAAAAGGAACTTTAAATTAAAATTGACTAGGGCAGGATGTAGTGGCATAGTTTATGAGCACATGAACACAATTTACTCAAGGTTGATAGTAACTTGTTTCAATACTGAAGGCATTGTCCTTTTTGTGTTTTATTTTATGGTTCTGTATTATGATAAACCTTATTATATCTCCATTATAAAGTTGCATGTAATGAGATAAGCATACACACAAAATTTTTTAGTTCGTTTTATAACTACGTATTTATAAATGTGTACAATAAAGTATAAATAAATTAACTTACTTTGCTACTTGAGATCTTGTTTCAAAGTCCAGTTTCTTCATTGATGTTAGAACCTCCATGCACCCTATGTACTGAAAAAGAAAGGTGAAAATTAAATGTAGATGCCTTATTTACATCTATAAAATGTTTATTTTTTTATGTGATAGACAAACAAGCAGACTAATAACCTGATGGTAAGTATGGACACCATGGACATCCGCAACACCAGAACCTTTACAAGTGCATTGCTGGCCTTTTGGGTATAATGTTTTTCAGCTTTAAGGATTCGGGAAGAGGTTGAAGAATTAAATGGGCCTATGATTTTTGTATTGAATCCTATATCTCCAAGGACAACTGTAATTTTCCAGTGGCTTATTCTATTTTGAGTAATTTTTGTGTTAAGAATTCATTTGGCAAATCAAAGAATAGCATTATTGTGTAGAGAGCAATTGATTTTTCTAATAAAATATAAAAAGTGTTTTAACTATACAACAATTTTAAATATAGTTTTGATTATTTTCCTTGTCAAAGTCAGATTAATGCTATAGAAATAGGATATCCACTCTCTAAAGTAATAACAAATCCACAAACTGAAAATTAAATAAGGTTTTATAATTATAAGACTTAGCAGTCCATCCTATTGTGAGCAAGTGAAACATAGTCACATATATTATTTACAAATAATGACTTAGAAGTGGGCAGTGTGTATCAACAAGTTACTACTATTTGTTACAATCGCCAAAACATACTGCTACTCAATACACTAGTGAGTAAATACCACCACTGCTGCATGTGAACTTCTTACGAATATTTTAAATTCTTTCACGAACCAGCGAAATCTATCATTGGTTTGTTTTATGGCCTAAATAAGCTACTCTAAAATTTTGTGTCAAAAATGTTTTATGGACTGTTTCTTTATTCTTTGCAACAGTCCATGTTAAAACTATTGTAAGGTTTTGGAAAGAAAAAGAATGGCGCCAATAGAACAGAAATATGATGCTTACTCTGACTGCGTATGTGATCCCATCGCTGGCGAGCACTGAGTCGGGGTGCAGCCAACCCCGCGCCGGCTTCGCAACGAAGGTACTATCCGTCATCTCCAACACAACAGGAACGCACTACTTCGTACAATTCAATGTTATTCTTCACACTTCACCTACTTCCAGTTATTTAAAAGGCGCTTTCATTATGATTCAGCTGATTAATTCACTACAGCCGATGTAAATCACCATTTATCTCAAATGTTTTGCCACTAAAGTTCACAATGTTATTGATTTATTTGTCAACTTAATTAATTACTCGATTGTTATTGCTTTGTGTAAATAAGTAAAAGCGTGGGAATGCAGTACGACAATAAAGTAAAAACATTTATCGTTAGAACATCAGCAAAGTTATAACTTTTTTGACAGTAGGAGTGAATGAATGAAAAGTCATGAGCAAAATGAGCAATGATGGCGTTCGACGAATGAATGATTCTGAGCAAGAACTATTTTACAGTAGATTGAACGAAATTCGGAACGGCACAGATAAAAATAGCAAGGACTTTGGGAGCAAAGTCTTGTCACAATAAAGGTACACTTAAGTACAAAAGTTTTTAATAAATAAAATATACTTAAAATATGTAAATCTTATTTACTAGAAGCTGTTCTCTGTAATAAGTTCTTAAATATAACAGTAAGATCTGTCATAAACTTGCTTACACATTTTGGTTTTTTGTTTGATTTTTAATGGGTTTTTAATTTTTTTAACAAAATAGCAAGCTAATTTGTAATAACAATAACTGATGAACTAATAAAAAGTAGTAGATAAGTCGATTGTCAATTTCTTTTGCTTGTGTTAAATCATCCATTGATTTCTCTCGCCCTTTACGGGCGGAGTGTTAAACTTTTACTAAATAAAACCAAAATAATCCTTAGCTTGCAACCTCAACCACAGCTACACATTGACCTTAGTAGGTTTCATCTGTGGTCTCATGGCTATTTAAGGCAAACGCGGAAATCGGAACAGAACGCGGTACGCTACTGGGTTCTATTCGGGTGGCAAGCTACTCTTGTTTGTTCGGATCGATCCATCACGCATTCTACTTCTTTCTTAACCAGCATGACTGCTTAGTATAAGGAGAAGATGGCCTGCTAGTCCATCTCGCTGGCCTGAACTAAGGTCGGGCGTGACAGGTCACCGCCGCCGATAAATTATCATCATCATCCTGCAGCCACTGCTAAACATAGGCTTCCCTTACACCTCCCTGAGTTTCCAGGCAGTAGATTTTTATTTCAGAAATTACCACCGATTTTTTTTTATGGGATAAGTTGGCAAACGAGCGGACTGGACCCATGGACACCCGCAACGGAGGAGTTACGTGAGCGTTGCCGACCTTTTAGGGACTAGGGGTTAAGAGATTTAAGGATTGGGGAGGGATTGTGGGAGGGGAAGGATTGGGCTTCCGGTAGCAATCAGCGCCACCTAAAGACACCCGCAATACAAAAGGAATTATGAGTGCGTTGCCAGCCTTTAAGGGATAAAGGTTCCCAATTTTTAAGGATTGGGAAGGGATGGGGAGAGAGTCTCCGGTAACCTTAATCACACGCTTAAACACAACGCTGTGGTTGCTTCACGCGGGTTTTCTGTGTAGCCATGGTTTCATTCCGGTCGGGCCAACCCATTCGTGCCAAAGCTTGGCTCTCCCACACATAATGGTAGAAAGTTTAAAACTAAGAACATTTAGTTTCGAATGTGGTTCAAGTCGCTCAGTCTTATAGCCAAGTCTTAGTGGTTAAGAACTTTTTCAAACAATTAAAAACTATCGTTGTCAGAATATACACAATCGGTCGTTTGCTCAGACCGACGATGGTGTACTTAGTAAAATACATATGTATGTATCTGTGTGCCTTGCAGTTGGCCATCACCTTTTGCAATAGTTTGGGCATAATCTCAAACACCTTACAATCCAAAGAAAACTAAAATTGGAATCGCAATAACACGTTTGTTAGAGGAAATTTTATATTTTTGTGAGGGGAAAACCATCAAATGTCTGTCTCCCGCGAAGGGTGAGGCGAGAGGGAGTGTTAGACTCTTACTGACTGAATATCCCCCGTTTCTTCTGCTTTAGGTTGAGGCCGCTTCACCCGCGCGTGTTTCTTAAGCTCGGCTGAGGTATATAATTCCTTGTCGACACAGTGCAAGCAATAAATAATGAAGGATGGTATCAGAGAAAATGCTAGGATAACGTTATATGATTACTTAATAATTGAGCGCTATCTATTAATCATCCCCCATGTGAGATTCAATCTCCCGTTTTCACCCGTGCGAATCCACTGGGAATATGATATTATAAATAACTTATGTCGTAGTTTTCCGTAGCACTTTTGTTTTTGGTTCCTAGAATAATACCTTTGTAATTCTTGTTATAATAGGATCGTGAAAGAGTGGAGTTTCGTGTGTGGGAAAGGAATTAGGTAGGTAGTTTAATAATTTAATAGCTTGTATTCATTTAAGTGTGGGAGAGCCATGCTTCGGCACGAATGAGTCGGCTCGACCGGAGTGATACCACGGTCTCACAGAAAACCGGCGTGAAATAACCACAGCGTTGTGTTTCGCCGTGTGAGTGAGGTTACCGGAGGCCCAATCCTTCCCCTCCCCCAATCCCTCCTAAATCCCTAAATCTTCAAATCCCTAATCCCTAAAAGGTCGGCAACGCACTCGTAACTCCTCCGTTGCGAGTGTCCATGGGCGGCGCTGATTGCTTACCATCAGGTAATCCGTCTGCTCGTTTGCCGACCTATTAAATAAAAAAAAGAGAGCCTTAACCTATTAACTTATTAAATAAAAAAAAAAAATACCTATTAAATAAAAAAAATAAAAAAAAAGAGAGTGCCTTACTATACTTAATTACGAGTTACTATACTTAATTACTACTCTATATACTTAATTCCAAGCAATTACTTACTGGAACTTCATTTTTTTAAAGACATTTATTGTGTAGTAGATTTGTCTTATGTTGTATTTGCTCTTTACAGTCATCTACGTTGTAGCAAGCCGACAAAGCAAGCAATCTAATACTAAATTAGAAGTAATACTAACATTTAACTAGTGCAGGGAAAATAGACGTTTTTAAATGTAACCTATATTCATATAAGTAATTAACTTAGTAACTAGTTTATTCATTGTTGTTAGTCTTATCATCTCATGTCTCATCGTATTGTTAACCTAGAATAGAAGAGCTGCCAGGGTTTTGGGTGCAAGCTCAATTTGCAAAATTATCTACGTCTATTTTTTTCGCAGTAAAGTTATTTTTTCATTAATCACTGGTATTTTAGACGTGAGCTTGACTGCCGATTTGCTGAGTAAGTTCGTTAAAAAGAAGGTACCTCGACAGGATTTGATAATAAACCAATTAGGTCGACGTAGATTCTGCTTGTGAAATATTTTTTAATTGCCGAACCTTTGTTGTTGTGTATACCTATTTTATGAAGACCAAATATCATTATCATGCTTTTAATAACTTATTGTATTTATTTAACAAATTATTAAAAATTATCTTTGCCTCAAAAAAATATTCAATCGTGCTAATTCGAACGTACGATAAAATCTTTACCAAAGTAGATACTCGTATCCACCATAATATAATATTTTTAGTGTCGATTGGTTTGTAGTGAGTTATACCGTTTCTATAAAGTTTTGTTTATGTGTTATTTAAATATTTTTGTCACTCTTGATAGTTAGTTGAGGGTTTAATACTAGTATGATTTTTGGAAGAATAATAGCAATTAATTGTACCTATTTCATTATTAAAATAACTAATTGACTTACCCTAATTTTGTTTGAGCACACGCCGTCGACAATAAAAAAGACAGGAAATTTTATGAAAATTATCATTGCTATATTGAAAATTCATTATTTAATTGGATTGCTATGATGCTACAATTTTTAGAGATGATGCTTAAATAATAAATAACAGTGGAATAATAATACTTACAAAGAATTTAAAGTATGTGTAAAATCCAGTTTACACATCAAAGCAGCTTTACTTCCGACACTGACAAGTTATTCGTAACAGACATTCCTAAAACAAAGTACCTACACGGGAGGTAAGAGGGCACAGCGGCAAAGCATTGTGTGCTCTATGTACGTGCAGTAAATAAACCTGGAGCATGACACGAAAGCTCTTCTTTTTGACACGTGACCTGTCTCGCGTGTGCGTGCACGAAATTAATACCCACACCCTCACAACTTCACCACATTACTTACTTATTCACTCTTACATTCCTTCACAGGCTTCACGCAATATTTACAAAATTCACTCCAAAGTCCCTAAGTAATTTATGACTCCAACTAAGCAAAAAGGGTCAGCCGGAATCTGTTGTTTTAATATCGTTACATGAATAACAAAGTTATGTCGTTTAGGAGTTTTGTCGTCCCGATGGGCGGTGGGTAAATGTTTATTTTTATTGTTCAAATCTACCCTCGAACATTAACTTAATAGCTGCCACGAGAATTTAAGCTACAGCCCGCTGTTATTTACACCGAAATAAACGTGCTAATTCTACAACACGCTTCAGTACTTCAGTAATAAACTCGTAAACTGGAAAAATACTAATACATTTTATGAAGATTATTACACATTAATCATCAAAACATTTAGTCCGGGAACTAATGAATTTACTGCTTCCATCAACCCCTAAATTAAAGTAAATCTCTATGAACACGGTGCAAACGCGGTCTTGCGTAGCAGCGTAGCGGGTGTCGTAGACTCGTAGCCGAAGGGAGACGCGCGTGCGTGCGTCAGTCGGCAAGAGCCGCGCGTTGCCGCTGCACGCCAGGCATGCGCTCCCGTGCTGCCCGGCAACACCATCTAACATACACACACCACCGCGCGCCCCTGTAAGTACACTCTATCATTACATACACTTCCAGTAGCAAAATCCCAACGTTTCAATTACTTTTTAATTCAAAATTTGTCATGCGGAAATGGTGATTTCCGCACGTGGATCCATATTTAGCCGGCAGTGCCTTCCCGACGCACTGTAACAAATGAGCGGTTCGTTCGATAGCCCACTGCCCCTGTGAGAGGCTTCCAAGTGAGCTCTCTCCTCAAGGGTTGTTCTGTGTTCTGATTATAACGTTTTGTTTTGAATGTAGATCACGATTCAACTGTCACGTTCTGGTGAGCATTTGGGGTTAGTTATGAATATTATATTATGTTTTGTATAGTGTTGTTTTGCACGTGGCTTATGGTAATGTTTTTCTCTGAAAACAGTAGAGGAAAATGAATACTTTTTGTCTCCAGAGAATTTATTCCTGTATCTGTTTGCACGTTTTCATAAATTGAGACTGTAAATGGCTTTGCAAAGTGGTGCGGAGCTCTAAAATCTTCTTTTTGCAATGGCATAAAAGCATGGTTGTAATAAGGAAGTGTACACATGCAGGCGGTGCAA